CGCATCACTCACGCCTGCCTCTCCCCTGCCCCTGCCCTTGCCCCTGCCGGTGGATCTGGGGCAGGGCCAGTCTGGCTAGGCCTGGGCCCCAGTCTGGCCTGTTACAGACGGGGAGTTCAGGCGCTGGGTGTGGATCGAATATACTTCAGTGGCCCCTGCTTTGCCCAGCAGTGTGGGGTCCCTGGTGGACACTCAGTGGGATTTGCCGACGTGTCAATGTGATCCAGAGCCTCCGTTTTCCTGCCCCTGAGAGCACTCTGAGCCACCAGCGAACAGGCTGCTCGTCGTCCCGATGGACTCAAAGAGCCAGTGCCTGGCATTGGGGCTGGGCTGGTCCTGCTGAGGGTGCAGAGGCCTTTGCTCTGCACCCAGAAGCGCTGGGTCCTGAGGCGCCTTCCTGTGTCCGGCAGGCCGTGGGGAGTGGCCTCAGGGCCTTCGTTGAGGGCCAGTACAGCTGTCCACTCCCCTTCAGAGGAGTAGATGTGACCGTAGCCGTGAGAGCTCTTAGACCAGTTCTTCCCATTCAAATAAATTCAAGTGTTTTTTCTTCTTCTTGTTCTTGTCAGAATGTGTGTGGGCTGGCCAGAGGAAGAAAGAGGGAGAGGGACAGCAGCCTCAGTGGGGCGCGGTCTGGCTGCAGTCCCTTGTCCTCCATTCCTCCATCCTGTCGGGGCTTGGGGCACACACACACCCAGCGTGTTTTCCATTTGAACCATGGTTGGCCACGTGGGGTCAGGCACCTGTAACTGCTAGGCTGTGGGGCAGTCCTGGGTTTATTGCAGGCAGCTCCCTTAGCGGGTCTCAGCTGGTGTACCCCCTCGGGCAGCTCCCCAGTGGGTCTCAGCTGGTGTACCCCCTCGGGCAGCACTCTTAGCGGGTCTCAGCTGGTGTACCCCGTCGGGCAGCTCCCTTAGCGGGTCTCAGCTGGTGTACCCCGTCGGGCAGCACTCTTAGCGGGTCTCAGCGGGTGTACCCCGTCGGGCAGCACTCTTAGTGGGTCTCAGCGGGTGTACCCCCTCGGGCAGCTCCCTCAGTGGGTCTCAGTGCTTCAGCCAGCCCTGGTGGTGGGCACACACACCTGTCACACTCAGGGAGGTCCCTGAACACACACCTGGACCCCCCCCACACACACGGGTCGGCCACACAGCACCATGTTCTGTGCCCACACTGCCGTTCATCCGGCCCCTCCACTCTCATTCCTAAGATTAAATAGGAACGCCAGGACCAGCAGTTGGCATAATGACTATGTCGCTGGCCTCCCACGTAGTCGACTGAGGTTTGAGTTTCAGACCCAGTGACTTAAACTCACGCAGGGCACATGTGCGTGCGTGCCCAGCATCCCGAGAGGAGAATGGAGGAGAAGGGATTGCGGCGTGGCCATCCCCCCGGGGGGCGATTTCTCGCTTTCTATTTCTCTGTCTCTCTCTCTCTTTCTGGCAAGCGCACATGCCCTATAGCAAAAACCTCTTAATAAAAAAGAAAATAGAACTCCCTAGGGCATTGCGATGATGTTTTTATTTGTACTTGTTACTGTGAATGCTTTATTACCCCAGCTGTCATTTTATTAATTACACCCTGTGTATTTTTATTATACAAGCCCCCAACATCCCTGTGACTGGCTGAAGGTTGCGTGTTAAGACCCACATAATGAAAGGAACTTTGTAGGGGGGTGAATTAAAACAGAGCTAACTTAGCTTACTTAACGCAGAGCTTCCTAGCAGCCAAGGCAAAAATAAAAATAAGAGAAGTGCAAGAGGTCATGGGGGCTCTTGAACTGCAGAAAAGGAAGCAAACCAAATTGTCCAAGCCCACGCGCTTTCCTGGTGCCGACCTCTGGAGGGATGGGACGTGGGGGCCTTGTTGTGTAAGGGCCAGTTTTGCTGAACGATGCAGGGGTGCCTGGGGTTAGCCACTTCTCACACTGACCCTTGATAATAGCACAGGGTGTGTCGAGAAGCTAGTTCTAAGAAAACGTGTTTTTGTAGGAAACTTAAGCAACGTGTCTAAGTGTGACGCATCAGCTGATTTCATTTGCTAGCGACTTCCTAAGCCCATACCAGTCACGTGGCTTTTGTGCTAAGAATCTCAGGTTAACCGTCTCAGCAAAGATGAAGGTCATTAATGCTGTTTTATAGGGTGGAGTTTGAGACGGAGAGAAATTGGCTCGAGCTCACACAGTCAATTAAATGGTGCTACCGGGACTTGAACCCAAGTGTACTGCTGTCATCCACTCACTCATTTGTTTATTTTATGTAGCTAGCTATAGGATGTGTTCACTGGAGGGAGAGGGAATGTGATAAATCACCCCCTGAGGGGGCGTCCACACTGCTAACCGTGCCCGCGAGGGTTCTTGGCCTCGTCTGGTCTCAGTGCTCTGCTAGGAAGAGGCGCGGTCCCCGCTCCACTTTCCTCTCTCTGAATTTCGGGCACACAAGCACATGGCCCTCACATGATACGCAAGTTACTGTATCCAGGACTTGAACCATGGAGTTGGCCATGTGGATCCAGCGCCTCGGCTGCCAAGCCACCTGCTGCCCCCCACTTCTTTTTGATGACACCCTGCTGGAGGATGGGGAGTCCTCATGCTGTGGTGTGTCTCTGTGTCACAGGGTGGGCTGTCGCTCTGTAAGGCCAGCTCATCCGCCCTTGGTAACTCCTACGGTGGCGGCTGTGTGACCAGCCGTAGCCCATTTACAGGGGGTCCGCTGGGGGGTCGGCCGTTGCCTGAGGCCACATCACTAGGGTGGGTAGGGACTCTGAGCGGGGTTGGGGGAGGGTTTGGGGCCACAAAGAACCCAGTGGAGCTGCATACAGACGTGTGCTCCTACCTGCCCTCTCCTCTAATTTTCTTTCTTTCTTTCTTTTTTTTTTTTTGAGAGAAGAGAGATTTATGGGCATGCGTGCTCGTCGGAGACGCAAAGAAAGACAGAAAAACGGAAAGCAAGAAATCACCCCCAGGAGGGATGGCCAGGCCACAATCACATTCTCCTCCACATGTGCCTGGTGTGAGTTTAAGCCGCCGGGTCTGGGACTCGAACCACAGTCGACTACGTGGGAGTCCAGCAACATAACCATTATGCCATCTGCTGGTCCCCTGTTTGCTCTTTTCTGAGTGGGAGGAGAAGAGATTAAGATTCTTGGAGTCTCAGAAAGCAGATCCTGAGCTCAACTGAGGAGGCACGGTGACAGGTGACATTGACAGCCCCAGCCAGGGACCAGGCACCCACAGGGCCAGGGACCAGGCACCCGCAGGGCCAGGGAGAGCTGACCGTGCCTGCGACGGTTAGCACTCTCGCCCCGTCTCAGTGCCCCGCTGGGAAGTGGTGCCCTCGTCCCCCTCACCCTTGCCCGCTGTGGCTAGGTCATTTTCCAGCAATTAGGAGGGCTTTGGGGACCTCTGTGTGTAGATGAGATTCCTAAAAGGCGGAGCGTCTGTGTCCAAGTCACCTTCGCCCCCTGAGCCCTGGGAGCGAGCCTGGCTGGCGTCCGTGGTCCAGAGCGAGCAGTGAGGGAGTGAGTGGTGGCAGGAGTACCTCTTTCCCGGCGCTCGGGACTGGCAAACCCTGGCTGCGTTTCTGATGACTTCTGTTCAAGGGTGATAGGTCGCTGTCGTGACAGAGAGGTCTCGGGGTAGCTGAGGCTGGGCCCCAGAGGCCATGGCCAGGCAGGACCAGAGTGATGGAGGAGCCTCAGAAGCTGTATCCATCCTCCTCCCAGGCAGGGTGGTGGCCCCTGGCACGGTGCCGTGGGGTGGCATGTGTCAGGGCCGCCAGGGCCAGGAGCGTCTCACTGCCCCTATAGCCTGGTACCTCTGGTGTCCCTGACCCATCCGAAGCCCTCCACTTGACCCGCTGTGGTTTTTTGCATCCCCACCTGGCTTGTCCCCCTCACATGGCCCAGGGGCGGGGTCCCAGTTGGTGGCTGCTTTACAGCTGAGGAAACAGACTGAGGGGTCAAGGTGACTTGCCCAAGGAGGAGCTAGAGGGGGCTATCCTGAGACCCCGCCTGCCCGCATCTTCAGATTCACGCTGTGGGGAAGGCGCGTGGAGCCCTCAGAACGCTGAGACTACCCTCTCTCTTCTGGCCAGAGCGCTGGCCTGGGCCCAGCGGGCCGTGGCGGAGGGCCCCCTTCCTGTTGGGAGACTGGCACGGCAGGCAGATGCTCTGCCCCTGCCAAGCCGAGCCCCCAGGAGCTTAGTGCAAGCAGGGACCGGGACGAGCCAGGAGTGACCCTGGGTGTGTGCTCGGAGCTCGGATGCAGTCGCCCTTCCCCACCCACTGCGGCCTGCTCCACGGAAGGGGGAGGGCGTCGGTGCACTGAGAAGGACTGGGTGGGCCGGCGTGAGGGCGCGAGGAACCGGGAAGCAGGCCATGGCAGCTCTCACTGCACCGCTCGCTGTAACCGTCCTTCCCTGCACCCTGCGCCAGGCTGGGAACGCCGGAGGCTGGGCTGGTGTGCTCCAGGGCCTGGCACCTGTCTGTGTGGGGAGACGTGTGACAAGTGGAGCGTGCGCTGGCGTGGAGACCTGCTGTCCAGCCCAGGCGTGCTCCGTCCGTGTGGCCTGCTCAGTCAGATCCCCTTTCTGGGCCCTGTTTTCTCGCTGAGCTGATCTTCGAGGCTTAGTGTTCTGCTTCAGCGAGGGCCCAGGCTCTGGAAGGTGGAGAGGCAGGGGCCAGCTTGGGAGCAGGAGGGAGGCGTCCTCTGAGCCTCTCGGCAGCGGGGCCGAGGAAGCAGGGCAGCCGGCAGGTGGGCCGAGGAAGGGCAGGTGCAGGCTGTGTACTGGAGCTCTGCTGTCCTTGAAAAGTGGAGTGCCCGAGCATTAGAGGCTCCTGTGAGGGTGGGGCCTGAGTGGGGGTGGCGAAGGCTGGACTAGACTCTAGGGCAGGAGCACCAAGGGCCAGTGGGACTCCTGCCTGGGGGGAGTCTGGAGGCTGGGCCTGGGTCTTCCTGTGCCAGGACAGGGTGCCCCTGCTCATTGGCCATGCCTGTGTTTCTGCAGATCATGATCGAGTTCTGTCCTGGGGGAGCTGTGGACGCCATCATGCTGGGTGAGTCTCCCTTGATCCACGCGGACCGTTGGGACTGGAGGCTTCCAGGGGCCCGAGTCTCCTCCACAGCGTGGCCCACAAGGCCCTGCAGAATCGGGCACTGCGGCCTGCTGACCTCACTCACTCGCCCCTCCCCACAGCGGCGCCCTCACCGCTCCCTCTGGGAACACCGCACCCCCAGGCCCACTCTTCCTCTGCACACAGAGACGGGCACCCCCCTCTAAGCACACACTGAGTAGTGTGTGTGTGCGTGTGTGTGACTCCCTGACGCACGCATACAACGCTCTTGGTGACCAGCCCTTCCCCTTCCATGTCTCCAGATGCCACCAGCAGCAGCCAGTTGACCTACCCCCGTGGCAGCTCCCCCTGGCCTCCAGGCCTCCGTCCGCGGGGGCTCCCAA